GTAAGCGATGAAAATCAGGCATTGAAACCGTACAAAAATTTGCAAACACTAAAAAACAATGCACTTTGCATATAATGTTTGATTACAAACGCACCATGAACACGTTTTCTCGGACAGTATGGGTAGCTCGTGTCGTATTGGAGAGCGCACGACGACACTTGGCACCGGAGCATTTGTTCGACTTCAGGCCAACCCCCCCCCCTCCAAGCCGATCACACCCCTCCGCCTCCTCCCAGACTCCTTTTCCCAGCACAGCTCTGCTTCAAATGACTGTTTCTAGGTGAGAAAAGCTGCTTCATCCAGTGAGAAAATCTGCTTCATCCAGTGAAAAAAGCTGCTTCATCCAGTGAGAAAAGCTGCTTCATCCACCGAGAAAAGCGGCTTCATCCACCGAGAAAAGCTGCTTCATCTAGTGATAAAATCTGTTTCATCCAGTGAGAAAAGCTGCTTCATCCACTGAGAAAATCTGTTTTATCCAGTGAGCTTCAGTTCAACTTTTAGTTCAAGTTCCAGGAACACTTTCAGTCGTTTTATTCAAGATTCAATTTCTGGAGCAGAGTTCAAATGAGCATAAAAGCTGTATGATGAACAACAAACGAAGGCAAAATATTGTTTTTCAAAAAAATATTACTTGTACTACCACTGACATTAACGTGTGCATTACAAATTACGACTATAAACTGACGTGACCCAAACACTGGAAAGTTTAAATTTTAATTAGGAAACTTCATTTAAAATTAATACAATTTGAATAGAATACCCATGAGATAATTCTTTTACGTACATCGCATTTATTAAAGTATTTAGTATCTTATTATCTCTTTTAAAATTGCTCTCAGCTTCATTACTTTTTTTTCTAAGATAGAACAAACGACATCGATTTTCCCGTCGATCGCATGTGAAAACAGTTGTAAATTGGCAATAAAACCTGACATTTTTATAGTTGCATCCTACCATATTCATTCAACATTACAATTCAATCATCAAAGCTAATGAAAATTCAATCATTATACCTAAAATACAACATATGAACCTTTCAAAATAAAATAATCTTGATTTGAAATCCCTCGTATTGGTCTAAATATCTCACATGTACTTGAAGGTACATGTGACATACAACATGCATATTTGCCTGAACACTGAACATGTCCCCTTTATTAATAATTATTATTAAATATAAATTATTATTATTAATAAGGTATGGATCTCACTCCTATACTACTCCACAAAATGCCTGCGAGGCTGACATGAGTAGCTAATTTTTTCACTAGCCTCGAGTGAGCACGTCATGGGCAACCAATAGGAAAACAGTGGGGAAATTGTGTGTATAAATTAAAATTTCCTTGAGATAATTAAATTGAAGACGATGAACCCGATTGCGATGTTTGCCTAGATAGCTTTTCCCATTCAAAGTTAGAAGCTGCATTTGTACGATCAATGCAGTTATACTGAAACGTTATCAGTGAAGTGCATGCGATAATTGATCGCCTCAGACTATGGACTCGGTGAAGGTCCTCGTCTACCGAAAAGTATATACTATGTTCTATATTTTATTAATTATTATTCATGATATATTTAATTAATATATATAATATATATATATATAATATAATTTAATATATTTATTTATATATTTAATTAATCCGATAATTAATCCGAGACATAATGTAAGCTCTATTAGACGAATAATGAGACAGTATTTCCTTAGCAGTTTGTGCTAGTAAATCCTGCCCTGCATTGGTTGCTGTGATAGAACTCTTTTATCCTGCTCATTGCATATCTTCAGAAGCTTTTTGCTGTCCTGAAACTGCCACCCTCAAACCCACTTCAGGGTCGAGACCTGAAATATGTGGGGCTAGAGATGCCGCACCTAAGAGGTCTGTCGTGCAGAGATACCCTGTGACAACACTTGCAGTATACACAAAGTTCTATATAAGCACAATAAATTTACACATTAAATTGCGAAATTACTACAGTTGTCGGATATCATCCGTTTCAAGCACACATCTCTAAAATTCACTCATTGTATAAGCAATAAACCTCAAGCTGTGCAGAGTGAAGTCGGGAGTCATTTATCGGACCACTTCGGCAAGATAGCACGGAACACGTCCAACGTTACATCCGACGAAGACTCGGAGACGGAGGACGACGAAGGCGGCGCATCAGCGTGACCGGGGACTAGGAAGTCCCGAACTCATCATAAGGTCATAAGGCAGACATGAGAAGATACTGCAGTTGGAATATGATTTCTCTAATTGACATTTCGAAGTGGGTGCATCATCTGAGTGTGATTTTTGTCTATCTTAAACTAAAAATTGGGCGATAATGTAATGTTTTTCGGTGCCCAGTCAAATCCCATGCATTACAAGATAGCACGTAGCAGCTTGCCTATAAACGTAGGTATTGACGAGAGTAGCGTTTCTGCTTCGTGCCAAATATTGGTGAAAAACTTTCCCGTCAATTATTCGTATGTTAGCAAATAATTACTCACCTAATTAATTAATCAAATTTCAATTAAATCGCTACACGTGCACATGCATGGGTGTACGTGAAGAATATTATTAGATCAGAATAGTGAGCGGGCATGTTTTGTACTCGTGTCTGTAAAGGATGTGGAAATAATAATGGAAAAAGATAAAGGCTAATTTCCCTTATCTGGGAATCAATGAATTGAACCCTTTAAATTATTTAGAACCATTCTTTTTTAAATGAATCAGTTATCCTTACCTCAATAACAATTCACAATTGAATGGTATCTCACATCAATTCAGATGGATCGAGGATATGTTTGCTGACGTCATAGCAATTCATGGCCAATAAATATTCAATATTACAATTGCAGTTTTCAAGTGGTATCAAGAACTTGTGGTCTGACGGAGAATGTTTAAAAAATGTACCTGAAAGTCAAGACTTTTCTCCAAACTCAAACCTGCCTGAGTTCCATTATATATGTTTAATTTATTGCACCACAACACCAGGCATGTGGTGCTGAGATTGTGGTGCAGGTGCACCACAACACAGGCACGTGGTGCTGAGATTGTGGTGCGTGTGCACCACAACACCAGGCATGTGGTGCTCAGATTGTGGTGCAGCTAGGTGCACCACAACACCAGACACGTGGTGCTGAGATTGTGGTGCGTGTGCACCACAACACAGGCATATGGTGCTCAGATTGTGGTGCGTGTGCACCACAACACAGGCATATGGTGCTCAGATTGTGGTGCGTGTGCACCACAACACCAGACACGAAGTGTGAAGGAGGAGTGCGCATCACTCTCTTCTATGGCAGGCTTATCAGTCAGGCTGTGTGGACGTCACTCTGTGTTATGTGTATAGCTGCTTAATACATAATTTAGGTTATGCTGCAAAAATTAATTGTCTCATAGATCACCGCAATTTAAAATATTTTGAAATTCATTTACAAATATGTAATCCTTCCAAAGCCGATCACGTACAAATTCATAAAATACCCTCTCTCATAAGAAACAAAATGGTACATAGTTACACACGCTTACATGTACACGTACACATGTTCATGAAGACACATAAGAACACACACACATGAAGCTAGTGAATGAGTTGCTGCTACAAAGCATTCATAGGAATGTCAATAGCACAAACACTGCACCGCCAGCCGGATGTTCTATTCAGCGTCCTCTTGCCTAACCTAAACAACCACGGATCTTGTATGTGCGATAATAAACATTCATCAATATTGACTAAAATATTAACTACTGTCGGTAATAATTTATATCTCTACACTCGTGTGAGTGCATAAAGTTGAACTCGAACAAATGTGGTTGAATTTTGGTTGGACCAAAGAATTTTTTTTTTTCTGAAAATTTAATGCAGTGATACTTGCCAAAATTAATATACGCAATGACAAATGGCTACCATGAGGAGTTCGGTTAAACTCTAATCCGCATTACCCGATTTTTTGAGCTAAAACAAAACTTGCTGCTCAAAACGCGTGTAATTATTTTCTTTCAGCTCGTTGTGTGACGCCTAAACAGTTCTAAGAAGTACAAGCTAAGCAGCAGCTGTTTGTGTTCAAGGAAATTCCTGGTAAGGATAATTTTGTAGCGGCGGACGGATGCGAAGACTGACGAGTCGCTGCCACCAAAACTTACACGTGGAGCACAACAAAAAATTGTATTCGGAAAACAATTTCAACTCTCCTACAGAGAAAGGTAATACTTGAAATGTGCAGTAGAATTTAGACTTTGATTTGAGGTTTCGCAAATGAAATTTTCCATGATTTTTTGTACTTCCAAAAGAGCATGATCTTGCTAGCCGGCATAGTTGTGTTTCGCGACCAGCTGTCGTCTGACTCTGACAGATGAACGTTCAACGGCTCCGGTATGTTTAAACGTTTTCAAAGCCATTTGGCAATTAATGAAAATTATGTAAGGAGCCGATAGCTTTATTCAAAAGCAGTAATAGTTTTAAACTTGTCAGGCTATGAGAATAGATTGAAGAAGGCCTATTGATCTCTTTGTACGCCTGGCAAGCTTTTTCGTCAGTAAATTGTCGTACGAATTCCTCCTGTCGTTGTGATTAAAGTTTCTCAGTAACATTCTACGTAAAATTTTATAGATAGTACAATGAAATCAACTGTAGATTTGATTTTTTATATACTTAATGTGTTTTTGATGCTAAAATCAATGTCGGGAACTCTCTCACTCTGAGAAGTTAATCGCGTTGGCTCGTAAAAAAAACATGTCGTGTCGCATTCCTTCTCTGCTTTCACTCTCGCACAAAGTATCTATTAACTAGCCTGCAATGATCTGTTTGATCCCTTTATAACTAATGTCATTAATCTTTAAAATTGAATTTACTATAGCTGTCACCCACTACATTGTATTGCACATAAACCGAGCTCTTTAACTCGAATTTATGTGAATAGGTGTGACGCTCTTCGTTCGTTTGGCAGCAGCGAGCGAAATAGGCGGCTGGCCCAGACGAAAGGTGGAGCGCGGTGGGCGTGAGGAGGGCTCAGCAGACACCGGTGAGAAGGGGTGGGAGTGGCACGTGTGTCATTGACCCCTCGCAGAAACAGCTCGATCCATCCTTGCTCGTCCAACTCCCCTCGGTTCCCTCTCTCTCGTTCGCGCTGCTCTGCTGATCCTCAATGCTTGCTAACCTTAAACCTGTCTGCTTTGCAAATGACTCATACTTCTGTAATCTCGACCTGCCTGACGGATGCCGGCGAGTGTCGCTATCTCAGGTAAGAGTTCCACATGTGGCCTTTAATCTGGTAACGCTGCCAGACGCTTGTTAACTAGAAATGTAGCTAGCCTACAATACATGATCTATTTGTATATTGCGTGGTTAGTACTAAAATTACCTACATTGTTGAGTTGCGAATACATTTCCTTGGTGATGGTTTTCCTAACTATAACTTTCAGAACAAGAAAAAATGGCTTAGTTAAACTAAAAAGAATTACTTAGTCTCCAAGTTGGAATAAAAGAAGCTAGAATCTGTTCACATTCTGACTCCCTTAAGTCTTAACTCAGAGATGCAATCAGAAGTAGGAAAAATGACTTCATTTCTCTTCAATTTATTTGAAGAATTCTGTGCACTAGACCATCCTCCGAAAATGTCCTAGTCTTCTACTCGATTTAGATTTTTGTAAGGCTTAAGGAATCCGACATATAAGCGCGTGAAATAATGCAAACGGTCCATTAAATTGATTCGAGCTGGATTTTTATGAAATAAAATCTTGATTTATATGCCATTCCGCATGAGCTCGCGGCGTCACTAAAGATGAGTCTTGGCCGCCATCTTGGATTTCGCGATGCCTGATGCGGGTGGTCGCCTTCGTGTATGCCTCAAAGGACACTATTTTCGAGACTAAAAAATATTATTTTCTGATCTTATTATTACCTTCCTTTATATCCATGTAAAATTGTATCCTGATTAAGTACATAATTCCCTATTCAATTCCTTATTACCACGATGCGTTTGAATTTTTTTTTGAATCTTTTAGATATAGGTTATGGATTAATATGCGGATATTATTCACAGTACGCCGTTGTATTTACAGGCTGCTATGCACACGACATGTATCTATACATGACATGTTAGGCTCACAGCATGTATCTATACATGCTATGCACACAGCATGCATCTATACATGCTAGGCTCACTTGTGTGTTTCGGTGTAGTGCTGTACACTTTATAACCACACTGCCCGCGCTTATTTGGTAGCATGCTGCTACAATTGCCATGCTGCTACAATTGCCATGCTGCTACAATTGCCATGCTGCTACAATTGCCATGCTGCTACAATTGCCATGCTGCTGCAATTGACATGATGCTACAATTGCCTTGCCGCTACAATTGCCATGCCGCTACAATTGCCTTGCCGCTACAATTGCCTTGCTGCTACAATTGCCAACAATAGCACCAGCAAAGCAGCCATTGTGTTGGCAGTAACACAAGAACAAAATGCATGCCAGCATTAGCAATAATAATGCCATCAATGATTGTGTTGAGTAACTGACATTAATTTGATGTCGTCAACAACATCGATCAATTCAACGCCAACACAAATAACTGCCTATTTGGCCACGAAACCCAAATCTCTGCGGCGAGACAACTATGAGTTATACCAAGCAAAAGTAATGACAAAGCGGGTATAAATAATAGCAAGCTACTATACTGCTACTGCACCAGTGTCAGTAGGATTAATAAGAGTAACAGCAACAGCAGTAAGCAGTGACTAGAATAGCAGCGGCAATAGTCACAGCCACAGCAGGAACAGCAGCAGCAATAACAGCCGCGTTAGGAATAACAGCAGCAGCAGCAATAACGACGGCAGCAATAACAACAACGGCGGCTGTGTACGTGAGGGCATCACACAGGGTCGCCCCTCAGGGGCCTCAAACGCTCATGTCCCATCCCCCTACCCCTCCCTTCACTTCCCCTCATCCCCCTCCCTCACCTAAATCCCATTCCTCTCCCCCTGGGCTTTGTCCATGCCTCCCCCCCATCATTCCCCACTCTAACCCTCTCTCCCCCTCGCCTCCTGCTCCTCACTCTCCTACCAGTCACGTTATTGTTGTTGTCGTATTATTGCTGTTATTTCTGCCAGAGTTACTTTTGCTGCCGTCGTGCATCATAAGTTACTGCTGCTGTTGTTATGGGTGTTGCTTCTCCTGGTGTTGTTGTTTGTGCCCGGTTCTACTACTGTCACAGCTGTTCTTAATGATGCACAGATGTTATACTGCATGCCGTTACAGCCACAGCTACTCAACATGTATCGTTATATTTACCACCGCTATCTTTTATCACGAGCCATCATCACAGTCACTAACGTGCTATCGAATGGATATTGCAGTTTATGGCATCTCTATCATTCTTATCATTCTTTACTGCCTGGAACTCCATGCCAGGAATTAAGTAATTAGCGTTAATTTCATCACGCGATGCCTTCTTCCGAGTCCGTTTCATCTTGAGATGCATCCCTCCGATATTTATCCATAGTGTGATGTTTCCTCGCGATAATTTTGTGTAGCTTTTTCCTGGATTTGTTTTTATGCCGTTAATTTCGGATTGTAAATCAAGTTTTGTAACGGCAGTCTTAGCAGATCTCGTTGCCGAGACGAAGACTTCCGCGTTGTCTGTGTAGGGCTTCCGCCTGTTGAGGCCTGGCCTCCTACAGGGATTCCCTCTTGCCAACAGAACCTTCTGTTGCTTGTGAACTTCCTTGTGATCTTTGCTGAGGGGCAAGACACGATGTGATTAACTGGTAAATACACGCAATGATTGGTTGAACAAGCATGGATAAATGGCTAAGGACCCGAAGCGCCGAAGTGAAAATTACAGGACTACACGCATCGTGAGAGAGGGTTCACCTCACTTCAGTAAAACGCTCCGAACACCGCAATATAGGGTTACCAGCACGGTAGTAAAGGGCTGCACATACCGCGATAAAGGTTTAAAGCACTGCAGTCAAGGTATAGTGTTGAGCACCGTGTTCAAGGGTTTAACGCCCAGCAGTAAAAGGCTGTACGTCCCTGGTTCAAGGGTAACACCCGGCAGTAAAGGGCTTATCACACTGACTTCGAGGCTTAAACGTTCAACGCAAGGCAGTAAAGGGCCATAAATACTGTGTTCGAGGGTTCAACGCCCTGCAGTAAAGAGCTTAACACATGGCAGTTAAGGGTCAAAAGCACAGCAGTATAAAGGGCTTCACATATGGCAGTAAAGGGTTACAAGCACAGCAGTAAAGGGCTTCATGCACACACCGAAACTAATGTTCAAACGCATTGCTTATAACGGTGCTATTCTCAAGCAGCAGTTAGCGGTGTGGGCTGTGAATGTCTTGTTGGTGCTTGCAGTGTCAAGCAAGGCTGGCTGGGGTCGCAATTTTCTGACAAGCACAACGCTATTATTAGACACGGTCGCTTAGCTCTATACTTATGTCCTATATAGTTACTCAGCATTTGCACGGCATCGTTTGAATGATGCCATCCCCACCACGAAGGTCTCTACAGACCACACGATTTCAAATGCAAACGTTCAACGAATATTGGAATGAGAAGAGAATTTTTTTATTTATCCGACATTGACTGCGTTAATTGCTTGCTGTTCAACATCGTCTTTTGTTGCAATTGCACGAGTCGCGAACGTGGACGAGAAACTCTCACTTGAAGAAACAAAGTTCACCTTTTTAAGTTTGAGTGACTTTCGTTTTGAGTTGCAGACATGAACGCTCTAATTATCAGGCGATCTCAGACGCGTGAACTTCAACATGCATGTACAGTATGTACCTGTTACGTGTACTAGTCAGTCGTGCCTTATACATAACTCTGTCTTCTTGTCTCGCTAATAAAATTATCTTTAACTTTTGGAGAGCTATATTGTGCACCATCGTGCTGGGATGGAGCAGAATATCTGCTAGGTCAGTGGCGGCGTCGCGCGCTTCTCACCGAATGATGTCCAGCTGGTGAAGATCGTGCGCCCGCACCACGTCCAGATAAATGACGCATCAAGTGCCTCGAGATCTCGCGATGGCGTTGGGGCGGTGGCGTCGAGCCACAAGATCCTAAATGTGGCGTCGAGCGCCTCACGCGCCACAAGATCCTAAATGTGGCGTCGAGCACCTCATGCGCCACAAGATCCTAAAATGTGGCGTCGAGCGCCTCACGCGCGTCAAGGTCCTAAATGTGGCGTCGAGCACCTCACGCGCCACAAGATCCTAAATGTGGCTTCGAACACCTCGTGCGCCACAAGATCCTAAAATGTGGCGTCGAGCGCCTCACGCGCGTCAAGGTCCTAAATGTGGCGTCGAGCGCCTCACGCGCCACAAGATCCTAAAGGCGGCGTCGAGCGCCACAAGAAGATCGTCCTCGAAGCAATTGTAGCTCGCCCTTGAATGCGAGTCTACAGAATCAGCGTCGATGATCAATATGTGCTGTCTGGTGCGTTGTTGTTTGCATGCCGCATGTGCTGCTATAAACTCTGCAATTTAAGGAGAAATAAATGAGTTGAGATGTAGCTCGTTGAATTAATGCATTCCCTGGGGTAAAGTAAGACATTAATAGTATAAATAGTTTGAGAATATAAACACTTCTTGGCAGAGGTTGAAGTTTACACATAATTTAGTCCTCCTCATTAATCGTAGAACTCACGTCGTAGCTTCAGTTTACTTAGAGCCTCTGAAAATTCGCTGTTTCTTCTCCTTTTGAAGCCAACATTGACATGTAAATAATTCACTCCTCCGTGAATTATTCTCAGCACTTGACTGCGTACTTTATTTGAAGATGGGCTTTCTGTGAAGCAGCCCTCGTGCTCGGAGTATAGCGTTGCACTCAGATTCCCCAAGCTGTGGACATTCTTCTCTAATTCACACAAGCCCCAGGAATTTAGGGCAAAAACTTGTGCTGAAGTGATTTATAAATAACCGCGTGTGTGCTACCTAGACTATACAACACGCACGAGTTGAGCGGGTGGATTCAACTTTCAGAACATAGTATGTTTTCTTGTACTTTCCTGAACGCCATTTTTTGTACTTTCTTCCGGAATGCAAAATATCTCGTAAGTCTTATTACGCTCGTTTGCATGGCGATCGCAATCCTCATTCGTTCATTTGCCGCTCGGAGGCTATGAAGAAAAAACTTCTGGTACTTGATGTGCTTGCGCTGTAATTAATGTGCATGATTCATGAGTACTAATTATCAGACTGCATATAAGACAACTGTACGATTGTAACGTTGTAT